GCCTTGAGCCTCAGAAAAGACTGCTATGGAGACCACGGACAAACTTACAGTAATTATAGAAGCATAGCAACAGATTTTAGGGGATGCCATTGCAAATTGTTGTATTGCTCCTCAGCCACAATGTGTTAAATTTGTGTTGGCCTTTATTGCAGGTTTAGTCCTTTCTGTTTTTAGTTTCTCTGCTGAAATAAATTGAATACAGTCGGATGGAAAAATTTTGAGTCACCCCAAAGCTTCTGACCGATCTTCACCTGATTAGAAGTCAGCGGAATTGCCATTTGGTCATGTCCATAAGGCGCATATGCATGGCTGAAAGGTTAGATGGTATGAGACTGTGTTCACAGCACTGGCAAAACAGCAGCTTTTCAGCACCAGCTTGTGACTGGGCTTGAAAGAGGATTGGTTTATGTCTCCTTGTATCTGAGCTGGAGGCCTTACCTTTGCCGTCCTGCATCCGTACCTGAGCTTTGAATTTCTGGGTGACAGAAAGCATGCTGCTTGGTGACCATGAATTTGATTTTAAGTCTTGTGCCTGTTAGCTGCATAAGATTGCACAGTCCACTACAAAATTTTAATTACAGTCTTTGTTATAGCGCTGTAACTAGGTTTAAAACTGTACCTGCATCTTTATACTGGAGAAAGGAATGATGAACACTTGGATCTGCTGTTCAAGATAAATTGTTTAGAGAGATGCAAATTTTCATAATCATATACGGATGTGTTTTACTTTGGACGAATACTGAATGCAGCTGCATTTGCTGGTGATATCTGGCCCTCTTCTGGACTTATCTGGGATAACCAGGAAGTGGTCTGTTTTGCTCAGAGTATATTTTCTAAAGAAACAGCCTTTGGACAGTAGAAATCCAGGCAAACCACCTGGAAAAGAATGAGCTTTCCTAGACACTTTAATAAATACTTCACCTTCTTGTAATTAGCTGACACTCCTACTACAGTTTTTAGAGACGAGAACTCTGGGAAGACTGAATTACTAGGGTGCAAGGAATAAAAAAACCTCTGCAGAAGAAGGTTATGCTATGACTTCCTATGACTGAGGGATGTTTTTCTCATATAAATTATGGAACTAATTACACTGCATGTTAACATTTTTCTTTCCTTGTACAAATGAGCTAAAATCACATAAAATGTGCACTAACTCCCACTTCTGGCTTACCAGAGCAGAAATGCAGTGTGACTGTTATCATCTGCTTAATCACTGTGGGG